TTTCAATCAAGTTTTAGGTGGTGATGTTGCGAAATGGCGCATTTTAATAAAAAGCTGGTAGCATTTTTATCTTTTGCTATTGAAAATGCTGCCGCAGCAATGTGGGTGATGTTGGTGTATTGGTGTAGAAATTTTAACATACTCACACATGCATATGACGTGTGGAACTGGCGATGGGAGTGGTAATACAATCGAATGCTTGAAAACGAACTATCGTCCGGGATATAAATACCTAATATATAGCACAACTATCAAAACTGCTTGATTATTCAAATTACGTTTTTCTTGAATTTTTGTGGCAATTGTCCATTATATAATGCTCACTCTTTTAATACGTTATCTTAAAAAGTTAGTAATCGATAGTCACGCTCAATTGGAATCGATTGGCGGTATCGTACCATTTCTGTCATCACCAATTTGTACATTCTTCTTCGCAGTCGGTTTAGCAGCAGAAAATTTAACCAGAGGGAAATTTATAAAAAGCTGCAAAGAAAACGGTAAATAATAAGTGCAAAGTGCAATTAATCCAAACATAATGCTAAGGCAATGTCCTAAGTGTAAAGTAAACAAATATTTCGGCTGAAAATGAACAAAACAAGGCTACCGCTGTTCGACGAAAGCAAATGAAAAAAAAGCATACGTCGCCGTCATCATTTCTTGGTACTCATACAAAGGCAGCCACATACACACACATATAAATTGATAGGGCTGTCGAATGTGTTCGTGGGTCACCAGTGTATTAATTTGCCAGGCAAACAAAGGAAACAAAAAAGTTCTAAGAAATTGCGCTAGTTTTAATGCCAACAAAAAATGTCTATGTGATTGTCGTGTGCTAAAACTCGGTCTAAATGACTACAATTTAACACGCACACAAATCGTAAGGCAACCCTAAACTCTCATGTGCGTATATGTGTTTATGAATTGTGACTGTGTGTGCGTTGCAGGGTGTTGCTGCTGCGGCGGCATATAAAAGTTGCTACGTGTAGATTTCATTTTCTTACACATATTTTTTTGCGACATTGAGTCTTCTGTTCAATTCAGTTTTTTGGCATCAAATGCAACCAAACAAAACGTAAATGTATTTTCGATAGCGTGTTCAGTTATTATTTGCGCATTTCGTTTTGATGGGCAACACTAGCGCTTTCAGTGCTGCTTAATTGTTGTTGCTGTTGTTGTTGCCATTGCCTGCTGTCTATTTCTATGTGAAGTCAATTAAACTTTCAATTGAATTGCATATTGAAGCACATGTGTGGACGTGTGTGTGTATGCGTGCGTGCGTGTGTGTGTGTGTGTGTATTTTACACATATAACACAAGCATAGGCAATATGTAAAGTCGCCGCTGCGGCTGACTCACCACAGATTTGGAGCGACGACGCTGGGCAATGGTCGGTCGAGTCATCCTGCTCGCATTTGCACTGATAAGTCGAAAGTTTCTCACCTCAAACATTTGCGCGTTTTGTCGTTGCACGTTTTTCTCCGACTAAAGTAGCCGCCGCTACACGCACACCAACAAATAAATAATACAAAAAAATCAATATCTTATCAGTTGCTGCGACGTCAGCGTCAACCGAGTATCAGCGCCGGCAGCAAACTTAGCAGCCAAATCAAACTTGTTGTTTTACTTTGACAATCGCCCTTTAACATCAGATCTTTTCTTTGTTTCTATTTTGAAGCCGACATCTTGAACTTGGCGTTGTCAATGAACTTTTTGGTAAAAGCGTTTGTAGCCATTTCTGCACTTTCTCGCTCGGTTGAAGTAATTTCGTAGCTGCTATTTAACATTTTTAATGGAAGATTTCATAATTTCGTTTCGGGCCTTCCGGTTTACTCACCGTTTGTTCAACACGTCAGCCTTAACAATCGAAGCTAAAATGATGCAAAGTGATCAAAACAGTTTGCAATTAACCAGCAAAACCTAAACAACGTTTGACTAAAACTTCATTACTCATAACATTTGTAATTCAAGTCAGTTTTATTGATCGTAAGTGTCTATGGGGGGTTGCTTTGTCCATATGCCACAGAACGCAGTTAATCGAATTAGGCTAAGTGAGAGAAACTAACATTGTCATTTGTCTATTCCATTCTTTGCAGTTTCTTCAAGTTGCAAGCACACAAATCCAACAGGAGTTGCATATTAACAGCAGTTGCAACTCGGATTTGAACTTGTTTATAATTACCGTAAACAAGAAGAAGCACTAGTGTAACAATTTTAAACAACATCCCCTCCACATTGAAAGACACGAAGCAACAACCAGCAACATGGGAAATGTATTTGCGAATCTATTCAAAGGCCTCTTCGGCAAAAAGGAAATGAGAATATTGATGGTCGGTTTGGATGCCGCTGGTAAAACCACAATTCTGTACAAACTCAAATTAGGCGAAATTGTTACAACGATACCTACTATTGGTAAGCAATAATTATAATAATAATAAATGTATACGAATAATGCAACATATTGTATGTTTTATCTTTCATCTCCAGGTTTCAATGTGGAGACTGTAGAATACAAGAATATTAGCTTTACAGTGTGGGATGTGGGCGGCCAAGACAAAATTCGTCCATTGTGGAGGCATTACTTCCAGAATACACAAGTACGTTAACGTTCCTTTTGAATAGATATGCCGGCCTACCTCTTCTAGATGATGTTAACAACTTATAATGATTAATTATGATTATTCAAAGTTAATTTTGTTTCAAGACGGGACTGATATTCATATAATGACCCTTATCAGATATTAATTTCAACATTGCCCCCTAACTAATATGTTCCACGTTCTGTTTCTTTCTTCTTCATCACGTAGGGTCTTATCTTCGTCGTTGATAGCAACGACAGAGAGCGTATCGGTGAGGCGAGAGAGGAATTGATGCGTATGCTGGCCGAGGACGAGCTCAGAGATGCAGTCCTACTAATATTCGCCAACAAACAGGTATGGATCTTAAACAAATAAATGATTTACTTAATTGACGGGATATAGTATGGTAGTAGAGCTAAATACTGACAAATCTGTAAATAGAAAACTTGTTTTGCTCCGAAGTTTATTTTCAAGCACATTTTTTGAAAAATCATTTAAATATTTTTAATGATGTCAGCATTTAAAAAAACATTTTGCGCAAGCGAGACTAACGCACGTGCTTAAAATAAATGTTGGCTGTCGTTGATAAGAAAGAAAAGGGTGTTTGTCGAGATAACAGAGCCTCGAGCAAGCACTCCCGTTAATTAATGGTTATTAAATGAATTTATACATGCTATATACTCAATACTCAATCATTTTGTCTCTGTCATCCTTTTAGGATCTGCCAAATGCAATGAATGCGGCCGAAATCACCGACAAGTTAGGCTTGCACTCACTCAGAAACCGCAATTGGTATATACAGGCGACGTGTGCAACCAGCGGCGATGGCCTCTATGAGGGGCTTGATTGGTTGTCCAATCAGCTAAAGAACGCTAATCGCTAAATAAACTACAACAACTGCAGCAACCACAACAACAAAATAATTATACACTAACTTTGATTTTAAAAGCAAAGCAGCAAAATCTTCAACCGCAACAGAAACAACAACAACAACAACAGAAACAGAAACAGACAACGGCATCAAATAAGTGGGAAGTAATATCAACAAGAAGAATAGCGAACTTTGGGTTCTGCGCATTTCCATTTTTCGAAAACACCCGCAAAACCGCGCCGCGCATAATTAAAACTTGTTTAAGAATCGCAAACACCACACTCAAAAAAAAAAAACTTTTCAAAGCAGCATCAGCATATAAAAGAACGCTATGATTTAATTTAAATTTATATATATATAATTATTGGATGTTTAACTGAGTAAAAAGAAAACCCAACCACCACAACAAGAAAAGTATGTAACGTTTTTAGGTTAATTTTGCCCTTCCCTCATCAATATATATTTCTTTTTAATTTTATATATATAAAAGTAATAATAATGAGAAACACTGTAATTGTAATTGCCCTTTAAAAATACAAGAAAAAAACAATTTGAATTATTTTTGTTTATATCCGACGCTTGGCTGCAAAACAAGTAACAAAACAAAAAAAAAACAAAACATAAAAACTATAAAAAAACGGAAAGTAATACTTATAAAGGTAATTCTAAATAAAATTTAAATAAACAAAATATGCTGAATCACTTTTGATACACGAAAAATTAAAATTTGTAATTAACACTGTATATGATGTGGTTGTTATCGATAATAAGTTAAAGGCAACCCCAACTGTATGCCACCGTTTACCAACACTGTGCCGGCACATTCAGAGTTGCTCTTGCCGATAACGATAAAAGAAATTTTTTTCTGCTGCTGGTGCCAATTTATAAGTAATTCTTCAATTAAATTAACTAAAACTAGATAAAAAACACTATTAAAATGTCGGCTAAGCAAAACTCCAAGAAATCTAAGTGGGCGCTGGACTTTAATGTTAGGTATGTGTGTCAAAATAAGCTATTTCAACGAAGATAATCCTTTTCTCTCCCATGATGTAGCAAAAATGCAGATATGCCTTCCCCGCCTGGCTACAATCCTACGGCTCTGGTAAATCAAACGGAAGTTGTACGTGATCAACGTTTGGTAATTAAAAAATCATGGGACTTGGCCCTGGGACCACTGAAACAGGTAAGCGGTGTCCTCAATTTGGCAAGACCTGCTGTAACCTTTAAAACTCTTCCAGATACCAATGAATCTATTCATAATGTACATGTCAGGTAATTCAATTTCTATTTTTCCAATTATGATGGTGGGCATGATGTTAATACGCCCCATTAAGGCTATGTTCACGACGCAAGTCACCTCAAAAATGGCCGAGGGTGCACAAGGCACGGGCCAGCGCATTATCTATATTCTGGGCAATCTGGCAAATGTGGCCCTTGCGCTATATAAGTGCCACAGTATGGGCCTTCTGCCCACGCACGCTTCCGACTGGCTAGCATTTGTGCAGCCTCAAACGCGTTTAGAATATTATGGAGGAGGTGTTTCCTTTATCTAGATTGTAACTTTGAACTTTCCTTTATTGGATCATAGATAAATTTGTTTAAACACTGAATAACTAAATATATTGTATTTCGTCGTCTCGAGCTGGAAGTAAATACGTTCTTCAGTCGTCCAAAACTTTTTTCGCCTCCGTTTTGATATCATGCACAATTTGTTCGACGGGCGTTCTGTGAATAATGTAAGAGTTGATAATGGATTTGTTATTTATATCGTGTTTATTTTAAATTGTTTTCTCTACAAATGAATATAGTTAGTTTGGTTATTGAATACCGTCTTCAATTGTCATTGCTTTGATGAATAGATCGTCAATTTATATTAAACTGGCATTTTAATGAGTCCTTTCAATTGTAAATTTTGTAGAGAAGTCCTTGGTAAAACTCTTGAATACTGTGCGCTCCGACTTGCATTGAAAATAGGTTTGATTTGCCAATAGATACGCAACTTCGCACTTCGAATGGTTTAAACATTGTAATAATCAGTCCAAGTTGTAAAATCTGTTACCCATTTTATTATTTTGAATTTTTTTAGCGTGCGTGGTTCATAGTCACATTGGGTTAGTTAAATAAAACTGCCTGGTCTAAGTCTGATGAATATGAAATTACGAATCCCTAAATGACGTTACTTTTTTCCGTCAATAAGCTCTCGGATTTTTTTATTCATTTTTTCAACCAGTTTGGGGGGGTCATCCACACGAGGCACCTGTAAAAGCATAACGATTAATTGTTACCAACAGATTTATCATTTCTTCAACACATACTTCATAGTTCTGCGACACGTAGAGACCCGTGTAAACTCCGGCCCCAAAAGTTAGCTGCAATTAAAATGTTTGAAATATTAATTTAATGGGAACGGGTTTTAGCTTAGAATTCAAATTAGTGCCGCTGACCATTGAGAAAAGCAACACGCGCCCGCCCGTCCATAAAGGTTTAGGTGGACACGGAGGCAATGCATCACACTCTTGGCATCCACTCGTGCACGAAGATTGACCACGTTTCAACAGTTGCATTCCCAATCCAAGCAATTTCATTTTAGTGTTTTATGTTTATGTGTTCTCCTATGTGTCGTGCCCAAAATTTAACTAAATATGTGTATGGCAATGTGAGCAATGCTTAGGCAGTTACTGTCTGACATTTTTGGACCGAATTTACTTATCATTATATACACATATACAAATGTATTGAAGGTGGGATAAGTAAAATACAATTCTACCTACCCAAAGGAAGCTTTGTGTTTTGTTGTACACTTTTCGCTATCGATTACTGTGTCGCAAAAAGTCCAAATAATTTGCCGGAGTACGATTTTCTTTGCTTTCTGGACTTTGAACTATGAACAAGGATAAGCGATGGGTGGATAAACCGAACCACATAACTTAATAAAAGAAAAACACACAGAACAGTCGAAAGTTCAGACACATACTTTAAATAACAATTTATATAATTTTGAAATTGTTTTACTACAGCTGATTTTTGACGCATATCATTTGCATAAAATGTTGCTGGGGTTTCTTGGCATTAAATCATCGCCATAAAAAGAACGGCGATATTTGCTATTGTTACTCGCAAGCACTCCACGAAGTGCTGCAATATATGGCGGCGGCGTATTTCGCAAACTTTCACTTGTATTTCATGCTACTTACCAGAAACTTAAGCATTGTCCAGTAATAAAAATCACTTTTTTCACCCGCACGCGCCAGTGTGAGAACCAAAACAACAACTGCGTTGAAGAAAATGTCAAAACGTACGAAACGAGACGCGCCGCGTAGAGCGCGAGCTGGCGTCTGTATGCTCGTGTCTGTGTGTGTGTGAATGAGAGTAAGAGAGTACAGAAAACAGCTGGCACACTCGGTTTCTTATGTATGTATGTAGGTATGTGCTGCTGTTGTTTTTATATGTGTGTTATCTAATCACAAGCAAAGCTAAATAACTGCAGTGTTTATAAGTTAGTTAACTGCTTAATGTTGTTTGGCAGTATGCGAAAAGGTTTGTTTTTGGCGCGTAATTTTATATTCAGCAACTTTGTTTTCAAATTGTGTTGATTGACAAATGCTGAAGGCAGCTTTGACTCAGCGCAACGAACGAGCAACGTGTAAATAGCTAGAAAGTGTAACCAAAAATACAAAATGGCCAAAAATAAAAAAAACTTGTTAGATGCTGTATCTGTGTGTTTAGCGGCATGTGTGTGTAAGCCCAACACACACAAATATAAAAAAATTTATTCCTAAAAGAATTCAAACGACCCGCCAAACAGCTTCATGACTGCCTTTATATTTGCGTTGTACAACACTAAATTAAACTAGTCCGCTCAATTTCTTCGCTTTTATTTATTCAACTGGTGTTTATACAATATAGTGTATTAAAACAATATTTAAAAACAAATTGCACATTTCACAAGGACGCAATTACAAGGTTAATGTTAAATACGGGCACAAGTACATAATAAAATCGTTGATGCCTATACTAGCTTAAGCTACGCCAAGTTTCCTCCTTTTGGTTTTTCTTCTACGCCAAGATTGCAGGTCTCGTCTTCAGGTAAATAAAAGCCACTATCTGTACAATATTTAAAATCACGTAAATATGTTAAGATATCACACTTTGCGGCGCTACTCACCATCATGGCAACAACACCAAGCGCCGGCAGAACAATAGTTCCAATTTTTGCTTGCATTTGTGCGTTTTCCAATTTGCGCTCCTTCTTTTGCTTTCGCGTTTCCTTTACCTTGCCTTTTAGTTGACGCATATTCTGGGTAAATTTAAATATTTAATTCATATATTAGCTGCTCGCTTGCTATGCTAAATATTTTGACTTACGCTCCGCGACAGAAAGTCTGATGACGTGTAGAGTTTTTATGCTTGCGACGTGTGTATATTTAGAATATGCAAACAGCGTTGGGCAGAGCGCTGGAGTCGTTCAGGTGGCTGCCGCTTGGCTTTGTCAACAAGTAGTTTCTGGATTGATTTTAACACATCTCTTCGTGTTCGTGCCTCTTCTTCTCGTCGAACGCGCTCAAGAAAGTTGTGCAGGTTGTTGTTGTTGTTGTCGGCGTGTCGCCACAGCTGTGTCGGGAGGCCATCCAAATGAGAAGGTTACGCGTAGAATTGCACGTGAGAGCCGCAACAAGAACATGTTTGAAAGATTTTTCTAAATATAAATTATATATTAAAAATGGGCAGCATAAGGCACTGATACTTCATTCGTTCGTTCCAAAAACAGTTAATGTATATTTACAGTACATAGACGTGACGTCACACGTTGACGAGTAGCTTTTGGCGAGTGAAAGTAAGCGAACGAACGAGTAACTGACCAGTGTTGCCATATCGTTTAAAAACGTGCATGCAGTGCTGTAAATTTATTAAATGAAGAGCGCGCGTTTTAAACAAATAAAAATGTATTTCAAAAGAAGGTTCATGCAATTATATCAGTGTAATTTCATCAAAATCGATGTTAGCTAATGAAAATTAAAGAAACCACTGAAAACTAATATTTTCTAGTCAATTCTTCTTGTAAACGTTTTGGTATAATTTTCGCTGCTAGCTTGTGTTATTTTTTAATTTAACGTTGCCACTACAGCTGCTTATTTTTCATTTTCTCTTGCGCTGACGTTGAAAATACAATTTCTCCGATACAAAAACAAGCGCGCACATGGACACACGCCCACACACACATTTTCACACACAGACACTCATACACTTTACTGATTTTTGTAACTGATACTGCACACTGCATAAACTTGGCTAATATTAAAGTTGCTTTTGCCTTTTTCTTTGCTTAAAGTACTCGCATGTGCCGCCCACATGTTGAATTTGCCATGGCTGTTTCGTGTTGTTTTCTTTTCCTTTCTAGCCCATATTTCTATCTATTTATTCCTCTTTTTTAATTTTTGAGCATTTTGCTAAGCCCCATTGGCATGGCTCCAAGAGGCAGCGAACCAGATATGCCCACCACTAACTGTTGCACCTTCACCTTTAAATGCGATTTTGAAAATGTATGAGCAGTTCCAAATGGGCTTATGTCCCAGCAAAGGGCGTGGTGGCTGTCACTAGTTGGGTTTCCGGTATGCTCGCAATTTCACTCCGACCCCAACCCACATCTAGCAGCAGCAGCAGCAGCATCATCAGCTGCAGCAGCAGCATATCAATCTGTTGGGGAGTAGCATCCACTGTTGCTCCTTTCTTACGCTAATTGACAGCATTCTTCATGGCTGCTGGTGCCGCATGTAGCCCCAGAATGGAGTAGAAAATGAAGCAATAATAATGCAAAATGCCGCCTGAAAACCGTTGCAAATCATTCGAGACGCACGCCCAAGTTTGTGCATCGGTAATGAAGCATTCCGCCAGTGACCAACGGCCAACATTTTGGCATCCAAAGTTCGTCCATTACCATAAACGGCAACCCGATCAATTTGGACACGGATTATTGGCAACTATTTAGTCGGCCAGATAGACAAAGCGACAGACAGACAGACAGACAGACAGATAGCCGGGCAGGCAGGCAGGCCAACAAGCAGTCAGCCATCAGCGGCTGGGCTCTAGCTAAAATGGCCCAAAGCTGCCACTTGTCCAAGTCGTCAGGCTGCCGTAAATTGAGCTTTGAATTCGTCTCTGCTCCCTGCTGCAACTGCAACCCGCCCGCTGAATGTGGCCTGAATGTGTATGCAGCATGTCGAAAATGCATGTTTCCTGATCGCAACTCTCTGCTCAATCTGTGGGTTCGCTTCTAGTTCGGGCTTAACGTTAACATGATTTTCGACTTGTTCGTTAGACTCAGCTAGTGATGGGCGTGTGACACGAGTTATAGGGTTAACTTTAATACTCTAAAATATTATTGCAAATGCTTTCTTTGTTATTAATATTAAAGAGTGATCCATTTATCATATTCTTTCATGTGCCTGTCATTTATCATATGTAAAAGATCCAGTGTTGTAAATCTGTTTATTTAAAAATGTGAACATTTTTAGTGGTGGAAAACACACATTGCATCACTTACACACAACTACATAAAGCATAAAAAGATTAGGTCGGATTTAGCTTGCCGTATTAAACTATAAAATACCCTCTAATATTTGTATGCACTTAAAGGGAATTCGATTCGAACTCATCTCTAGTTGGGGCTCAGTTACCGAGGTAGCCAGCCAACTTTGTTGGCCGTTGATTGGCCGGCCATTGTCCGGCCGTCCGACTCCTTAACTGACTTAGCTAAACTCCTTATTTTGATTGCCAAGTCGTAAAATGATGGATTACCGAGTTGGGATTTATTTCTTGTTACGGTCATAATAGATTATCTTTGCTCACTCATTGTCAGACTGCCGAGCCTTAAGTCGCGTTCGCATCTTCTTTCGACAAATGCTCGTTAGGCTCTCGTGGAATTGCCTACCGTTTTAAGGCAGCTTTCTGTCTGCTCCCGCAGTCGGAATGGTACTCAAATCTGCCATGATGATATGGCTGGTTCTGTTGCAGCTTAATCACGCAAGTCTAGGTAGGAAGGAAGGTGGCCCCAAACGGCGGAACATGATTAAAACTATTAAAAATAACGAGAAATGCAGTAAAATTAAAGTTTTAACTAGCCGAATGAATTATGAAAGTATAAGCAAAATTATTATGATTTTTTTTTTGCCAGAGCTGACTAATCATATTTTTCATAACAAAAGGGACGTTGATTAACACTGCAGTGCAGTGTAAAGATCGCTGATTAATTGCAGTGTTGTAAATGGCAAAAATATAAGAAAATACAATTGATTAGCGGTGTTAAGTAGATGACTTGTCGGTTATTTAGGCAACTGAACACGAAAGATTTTGTTTTAAATCCCAGCTTAATAGTTAATAACTATATTCTATTCCACATAAAGCAAATAGACAACTAGTTTTGCGAAATAATTTATATAAAGAGAATAAACAATATAGAAAGAATGCAACAAGTCAAAATTAAGAACTGGGAACATAAAACAAATGGAGAAATTTAGTTAGGATAAACCTAAATCGAATTTATAGAAAGTTGGTAATTTATTTAGAAAAGAGGACACATTCCTAGCCATAGTAGGCGGCATAGTATTGGGGCGCGGCCACATAGGCAGCAGCTGGTGCTGCTGGTGCCGCCTGAGGCGCTGCTATGAACTTGGCAAAGGACGTGGGCTGCACAAAGCTGACGGCGCCTGCCGGATAATAGACAATGGTTGGCGGCTGAACGGGTGCGAGCGGCGCTGGAGCGACAGCCGGAGCTGCTGGCGCTGCCTTGGGCACCTCCACCTCCTCGGCGGCATCATCGATGTCGTCCTCCTCCTGCGCCTCGCTGTTGGCCACCAAACGCGCGGGCTTTGCCTGCAGCCGTGCGGGCGTCGCGGCGGCGGCCTCCGCCTGGGCGGGCGCTCTATAAAACTGCTGCGGCTGTGGTGCAGCTGCCTCTGCCTGGGCAGGCGCTGGAGGAGCTCTATACAGCTGCTGCGGCTGTGGCGCGGCATAGCTGATCGCCGGCTGTGCAATCTGCTCCAGATTCTGAACCGCTGGCCTATAGTTGTAACCCGCCTGCTGCTGCTGTTGCCGCTGCAGCTGCTGCTGCTGCTGCTGCAGTTGGTAGCGACGGCGCTGCTGCTGCACGTCCGCCTGCGCCAGGCTCAGCAGACAGGCGAGTAAGACGATGACCACTGGGCTGAGTTTCATTGTTGTGACTGGCTGATTGACTGACTGACTGACTGCGAGTCGCTCCGCTTGGTTTTATATATGTCCGTGTCGGCTGCGGCTGCTTAAGATGCCAAACGCGTGCCGGCGCGGGGCGGCATGGGGGTAGCCCCGCCACACACACAGGCACACACACACACACACACACACACACACACACACACACACACACACACACACACACACACACACACACACACACACACACACACACACACACACACACACACACACACACACACACACACACACACACACACACACACACAACCTCCTCCGGCCAGCCGGCCAGCAAAACAAAATTGACATTGACCCCAAAAACAAACCCCAAAACTGAATTGTTGCATTTGCGTTTTGCAGTTGAGCGATGCTTCGCTCATAACCCAAATCCAATACCGAAACCAATCGAACAAACCAAACCAAAAGCTCGGCTAGACGATGCCCTGTAAATTTTCCGTTTTTCCAATGCAAACACACGCCTCAGCTTATCGTTAAAAGCAATTATTATTTTTTAATAAATGCTCCATTAATGTTCACATTGTTCTAAAACGTATTAGATTATGGAGGGAACATAAAATAAAATAAGTATTCCCAAAATCGAAGCATTTAACGTAGGAGATAAGATAAAAGAATGTCCTCTAGCTCGAATTCTTCCATATGCGACTTGCATTACTTTTAGATCTTTTTGTAGCCATGTTTTTATGGCATTCGATGATTACAGGGTATAACAATGCAGGCTTCACTTGCTCCGAAGCGGTCGTCATCGTTCGCATCGTCTGTGGCCTGTCATCAATATGCAGTTGATGCTCTAACATTTTATTGGGCTTTTTTGGCCCGTTGCCCACGTGTTGCTGGGGAGGCAGCAGCATTTGGTGTATTGTTTTGCTCAGACAATAGACTGAAGTGGACTTGTAGTTGAGTCACGTACAATGTAACACTATAAATTAGCCCATCTGACATGGGGCACATGTAGTGGAGCCCATTCGAGTCCAGGGCGACAAATGCAGGTGACACAAAATGTGTAATGAAAGCAAACGCACAAATTACCGCATTACGAGCTGACTACTTGGAAATTTTAGGTATTAGCCGTTCATATGACGGGGCTTATGTAGGCTGCGGTGACCTTAAAGATATTGTTAGTTGTTATCCTAGGATAGATTCTTGTTTTTGTGAAATGTTCCATGTTTTCTTGCAGTTTATATATATATCTGCAAAACCATAAGACAAATGTCTACAAGAGTATTAAATCTTCTGCTTGGGCAATATTCTTAGTTCCTCGTTTATTTTTAAATTTGATTTTCTTTCATTTTCTTAGTTAAAATTAAGTGTCCAATCTGCTTTTTCGTTCGCTTTGCTGGATATTTACGCATATTTTCAAATTGAACATAAAACTAATTAAAATAAAGCGTTTTTAATGCAATTTCACGCCATTGGTTGACACCCCCCAAATGAATCTATGCACAATAATCAATTATCGAATTTTTCATGGCACCTGCATAAATTTGCCATATTTAATACTGGAACCGCCTCCCGGCTAACTGCTCCATTTGGTGGCTGCATGAGAAATGCGCCATAAATTCAATGGAAATGGCAGCCAATTGCCTTGGAGTCGCGTCTAGCACAATATTTACAAGGATTTCAATAAAAATGAAGCAACTAATTGTTGCAATTAATTTATTAAATTACACTCGCCGCTATCCGCTCTTAACTGGTCGGCTTTGAGGCCAAAAGACGTTGCAGTTGCCGGCTTATGTTTTTTTTTATTGTATTTATTTCGTGGCTCAATGGGAGCCCAGTCGCATTCGCAGGTGGACACCGGGCCACGGTAGTCAGTAGTCAGTGGACAGTTGACAGTTGACAGTAGCCGGTGCTCAGTTTATGGGCCATTCGATAAACTGCGAATTCAGCACGTTTAGACTCTAATATCGTAGAGTCAAGTGCTTCTAATGGCGCTGCAAGTAAGGAAAACAGTCGAAAAACTCCATAACAACTGTGCTTTGATTTAATGAACTCTCTATTTTTTAGTTTTGGGTGCAAAAGTGCGCCTAACCATTGCCTGAAAGCTGTCAGTGTGTATTTATATGTATATACAGTATATATTCATATATTCAGAGTATATTCATGCATTCAATATGTTTTAATGGGTTCTTCACATCGATTTTAGCTTCTTAAAATGTCTATTAAATTACTCTGGCTATGTTCCGAACAAGGTTAATTCTCACAAGTAGCAACATCTTTATTCAAGCTTTAAAAGCTGTTTTTAAACTGTACAAAATGATAGAATTAATGATCTATCTAGGACTATACTGCGGGAACTGACATCAAGAAATTGAACTTAGCTGAGATTGAATATGCAGATGTTGTGTGAGGCATAGGTAAACGATGTATTTAGACGTACTAGATTTCTTAAGATAACATTTTCTTTCCAAAATTTCTATTCAGTTGTACCCACAGTTGTAACTTTCCAGAATTTCTTTTCTTCTTTCTCTTTTGACCGATATCCTTAAATGTTTTATTGCCTGTGCTACAGAGCCAGCTGAGAAACATCTCATTTAGTAAAAGGTTTCTAAATATAATAAAATAATTATAAATTTAGTTAGCGCCTTGTAGAGTATCAGGTCAACTAGTTTTAGTTGCTAACCCAATCTAAAAGGCAGAAGAAAGCATCTCCGACCCCACAAGTATACATTTTTTTTTATCAGAATCAATAGTCAAGTCGATCTAGCTTTGTTTGTCTGAACGTCCGTAGGAACGCGTCGAAATCAGTACCTTTAGGAACTAGAGACTTCTGAACGTGCCCGTTTCCGACTTTCGATAAGTTGCCCCGTTTCCAAGCAATCGATATCGAAATCATGTATTTTGATCAAATATCTTTGGTTTTAATTGCTAGAGTCGTCAAATTTGACATGTCGCTTCCAGAATAGTATATACAGATCAAGTATCTTTTATTTTATAGTTACCGCCCCTCCTCCCCCTTGCGCGAGCTGTATTCGTTGTTCGTAGAAGAAGGTTCAGGGTATTGCTTAGTCGCACACGCCCCTGTTCTATGTTAACTTGTTCTATGTGCAATTAGCCAACAAATGATCAGAGATTCAAAATTGCTGGCAAGCTCTAGTCGCACACAGGGGCAACACAGATGCCACATTCATTTGCGGGCAATTGAAAAATAGGAAAAGCTTCCATTTAAATGGGCCGTTGGAGACTTCTTGGAAGACGTCCATTAGAAATGGGCGAGACATTCGTATCTATTGCAAAGAACTGGGCGTCATATTTCAAAAGACAGTCACGGCCAATGGCCACGCATGCGTCTCGAGAGTTTCGAGAGTTTTTAAGAGTATCCGAGTACCAGGTCTCGGGGTGGGCCACTGGACTGGACGGTGGCTCGCTGCGGGAATTATGTAGATTATGGACTGGACGCAGTGCTGCAGCTGGAGTTGGAGTTGGAGCGTGTTTGCGGCGCGTTTTACAATTAATTTTGCGGCCAGGTCTGCGGACTTTGGTAGCTGCAGCCAAGACCAAGACCGAAACCAGACCGGATCGGTTCGGTATGGTCGCAAAAAAAGTTTCTCTAATGTTCGCCCGGTTTTGCATGTGTTACATTTTTGCTTTATTTCTTTTTTTTTTTTTTTTTTTTTTGTGATTTATTTTTGCTTTTAGTGTCTTTTATTTTATGATTTATATGGACTGCGCAACTGCTAAAGAGAGCTCGATTCTGCTCTGGTCCTGGCTGCTTGGGTCCGGTTCTGTGTATTTCTTAAGACGGCTCTCGACTTTGGCTTTGGCATTGGTGATTTTTCACTATTTTCATCGTAGATCAAAATTAAGTGATTTTAATGATGAAATTTATTGGCGCATTTATTTGTACATGATTTGGAGCAAACTAAACTGCCAAACTGGTACCCAGCCAGACACATGTGCCATGTGCCATGCTCCATGTGCGCCCGGGGGCGATATGCCAATAAATATGTTGGACATGTGACAGATTTCGTTTGCAAGATAAACGACCCCACTCGGATGCCCGGTTGTAGGTCTACCCGGTTCAATGAGAGGTCTGTAACAAAGTTCCAATTGAGTTCCAACAAAGAACTTAACTATAAATATTTGTCTCAAGTCTCAAGGAATTGTTACTCAAATACTGATTGATCGTTGATTTACAAAGCAACGATTGGCAGGCTGACTGATTGATGATCAACATGATCATGAATAAACCAGTAAGAACTAGGTCTATCACAGTAGTTCGACACAAACTACCTTTTATATATCTAAACATTTTTACATATTTTTTATAATCTTGTAGAAAGTATTATAACTTTGTCATGAAATTTGTGACGCATAGAAGGAGACATTTCCGACCCCATAAAGTATACATATATATATATATACTAGATCAGCATCAACAGCCGAGATGATATAATAGCTAGGTCCATCTGTCCATCTGATTGTTTCTATGCGAACTAGTCTCTCAATTTAAAAGCTATCCTCTTGAAACTTTGAATATGTCAGTCTTTCTGCTGCAGTTAGTACATATGTCAGAAACGGCCGGATTGTTGTCATAGGAATGATCGGTCGTGAAGTAGGTTCTTGTATGGAATACTTTTTTGTTCATCAAGATAACTTGGCCAAACTCGGCATTTATAATTTTCACACATGCATTATCTTATCTACAGCGAACCTCTATATCATATAGCTGACATAGGAACGATCAGTCGATATGTAGTTTCTCATGTGGTTTATCTAGATATGTTCATCAGAAACAGCTTATACGACTTTCACTATTCTCATATACTATTGCAAAAGGGAAATGTCTATAAGGGTATTAAATCTTCGGCGTGCCAAAGATATCCTTTCCTTCTCGTTTTTGATTTAAATTTATTTATTTTAATAAAATTTTTTATTATTTACTATATATATAAGGTTAGGCCTAAATGGGATAGATTCAAACTAAGTTTATCAAAAAATGAATCAGACAGTTTTTAATGAAA